CAGCAGACTTTCGGGGTCTAATTCCTGTGTAGGCTTTTGATTTCAGCACGTAACCTAAACCACCAGCTGTAACAGACAAAGTGCCATTTATCTATGGTTATGCAGACTCCTGTATTTCTTGCATGCATACAAGTCTTAGTGTTTTTTGTAATTTGTGCTTATGGAACCCCTAGAGAGACCTCTTGTTTCAGAAGAGTTTAAGCACAGAAGGGCAAGCTTTCAGTAGACAGCTATATCCTAAAGAGAAGCAAAGTTCCTGAAATGTTTGTTCCATCTGGGCTTTGGCATTGGCTTTTTTCCTGGTCAGATATCCACATTGCTCTTGGCAGCTTGGCAGAATTAGGTAGTTGACACAAAGTACTGTTCCCTGTCCTCGCTCCAAGTTGGAGCCGGAGCACACTGGCAAGGTGGTGTGGGAAAGTTGTTTGCAGAGACAGCTATTTTCAGAAGAGTTAACCTCACCTCTGTGGAAAACAGAATAAACCAGAGCTCAAACTTTACTGAATTTCCAGCATGGAAATTGTTTGTTATCAGTTTGATCATCAATGACTGCATATATTTTTACTGTTGTTGACACTTTGTACTACTCACCTGATCGGTCTTACATACAAAAGAAAACTCCAGAAAATGGGAGCACTCTTTATGGATAGCACACATCCCATGTCTGCAGTGCTTGCAGGAGCAAAGAAAGTAAAAAAGGCAGATGGTCCCATTTCACCAGCACTGAGTATTTGAAGGCTTTCCTGTTGAAATGGGGAATCTGTATTCTGCATATAGCTGGGAGAGTCTGTGCCAGGATGTAGGTAGGCAGAAAGATACAGAAACTGCCTTTGCGCTTCCTCTGTAGTAGCCCTGGTTCAAACATATATGATGCATGAAGCAGGAGGTTTGCTGTAGCATTGTTCTGCACACAGATCTTGGACTGCTGTGAATGAGCTTATGTATACTACTCCAGGGTTAGGGGATCCTCATGGAGTGTACAGTAAAGTGCAGGCTCTATGTCACTGTTCAGATCAGTGTTTCAAAATCCTGTGAGAATTTTGCTTGGTAGCCACTCTGCACATACCCTGTGCAACTTCTATAAAATACTTGGCTGGATAGGGCTGGTATTAACGAGCATCCCAAAATGTAATTGCACACAGTATTTGTGCTGATTTTTATCAGTTGCTTCTGTACCAATTACTAGAATGAGGACAAAGGGAATTAGAACAGCATCGGTACAGTTAATTGTGTCTCAGAGCGGGGGATCTGAAGTTCTTCTTAGCTCTGTTTTATATGAATCTGTGGGTATGGCCATCAAAGACAAGGTACAGAAATCAGAGCAAATAATAGGTTTGTTTTTTTCTTGAGCTGCATGTTAGTATTGAGCACTGTTCATCTGAAAAAAGGACCGAGTGTTGTGGACAGCTGCTGCACAGAACAGGATTCTGCTCACTGTAAAAATCCCTTACTTTGAGCCACTTCAGAGTTTGTTTTACAGTTTAATTCTTACATATTTTTAGAGTGGAATAAATCAACTATAAGAGATGTTAACACAAAACCCCATTATGCTATCAGTATTACAAATAACATTTTAATGAGAAGGCAATTTTAGAATAATAACTTTTTTGCATCAACATAAAACATTTCTTCTACAATTACTCTGGTTTTTTATGGGGTGAAGCAGGGTACACTAGGCATTCATGTACTATACAGGATGCATTTCTCATTTTCCTTTTCTTCTTTTTAGACACTAACTTAAAAAATAAAACTGTTTAGTATAAATTGTCAGTGATTTAGGCTAAGAGATCCTGTTATCTGTTTGTTTATCATTATTTAAAAGTACTGTGACTTTGATTTTGTTTTATGAGGGGAAGGAGGCATTATATGATACTTATGAAAAAAGAAAATTAAATCTATGCACAAAACTGTGGACTTGAGAGGAATTTATTTATCTGCTTAGGCAATATTACCCTGTTTTAAAAATGTATTTCCTTTTGGGTAATTTGTTTTGTGATAATATTGCAGTGTGGAAAAAAGTTTGCTAGTTATTCAATTCATGCTAATACCTTCACCTTAAAAAAAACCCCACCAAAAAAACCAATAAAAAAGCCCAAACAATGACTCATTCTGACAAATGATGTGAGGTAATGAGAGCTTGAAACACTACTTACTTGTGTTTCATGCATGAAACATTTCCATTTTTCTTTTTTATTTGGAGTCCTCCTGAAAAATAACATTTAATCTGTGCTCATATTTCTTTTATATCACGATGTTTTTGCCCAATATGTGCTATATTGTATTCTTGACCAAGAATTTCTAGTGGGCAAATTTGCTAAGTGTCTGCATCAGTTTCTGCTGGTTTCTTGTGGGAAAAGTTGCAGTCGTGGAGTTGCTCAGTGTTTCCTAGAACCAAGCTGCAATTGATTGCACAACTGAAAGCACAGAAGCACACTTTGCTGCATAGGAAAAAGAGATATAGAGTATTTTCAGTGATTGATTCCCTTGATGAACTGGCTCATCACTTTTGCTTCTCCTGTGCAACCCTGGCAGAAGTTTAAGTCACTTTCTGTCATTGGACAAGATAAAGGAGGAGAGGAGGTGATAACTTGTGTCCCAGGTGGAGTTTCAGCTGCATTCAGCAAGGTGGCTGGTGGCTGGCACAGCACACACTTGACTCCGCAGAGAATCAGGTCCGTAAAGAAAATCTCCCTGCACTGACAGGCAAGAAGTCAAATACACTGTGCTGCTTGCTCTCGAGCCGTTCCTTGCTTCAAAATAGACGTCGTGGTCCCAATAGTGACTGTGCATCAACGTGTGTTCAACATGGGTTGTTTTAAATGTCAGAAGTTGTCTTGTGGTACAGCATCAGATATGTCTGTTAAATGAAAAATGTACCATGTTTTGAGAGTGCAGTGCTTTTACACAGTTGTCCTGTTGATAACTCGGTTCCCCAACATCATAAATGAGGATGACATAGTATAGATGAGCTGCTGATGCTTTCAGCATTGGGTTTATTAGATTGCCTTTGAGCAGGGTTAGATAGCACAGCTATAAAAATGGCAACAGCCAAACATTTTTTAAAAGAAAGGAGCTCCTGGAGGGCTGGCCTTGGGAACTGGGTGGAAAGCATTGCTGGCATTTGTCAATGGAAGCAGGAAGCTAGTGACTCGGTTGCTTGGGTTGAACCGCATCCAGTGCGGTATATTTTCTGCAAAGTGATGTAAATATCGATGGAACGCTAATCCATTCATTTCAGGTACCAACAAAAGGGAATCTGAAAACATGCAACCTTAGGTTTCAAACATAGGTTGAGTGCTACAGATCATGATTGTGTGCAGTCACGTTGTGCTTGTAGGAGGATCTGATTTGTTACTCCACTGCGTAGTGCAGATCCGACTCATTACATACTGCTGCTTAATGTATAGATTCTGACCTGATGGCTCCTGGCTCATTTGGCATGTCTCTGTGCTAAGTGTAAGCCTTTGTGAATCTGGTGTGAATACACTGTCAGGGAACAACTCAACTACAGGTGAAAAATATTAGCTCTGTGATAGTATTGAGGTCACTGAAACAGCAGATTATGCCATTCTTGTATGCCCAGCTGCTGGCTACTACTTGGCTGATAGGTATGGAGCTTTGAGAACCATTGCATGCGTATTTTTTTCTAATTCCTGGTAAAGTTGCCCTAACGTGAACAGCCCAGATGTACAGCTCTTCTCTGAAACTGTGGCCATGGGACACGGTGATTTATCTTTTGATTCCAGCCAGTGTGTATCACAGAAGAGTGAGAGATCATTCAGACAGATCTGATCAAGTAGTTAGTTTATTGAATTCTAATCAGTAAATTTAAGTGTGTAAAATATTTAATAAGTCCAGATGGATTGGCAGTCAATACTGTACTATTGACTACACTTAAAGTTAGTATGGGATTATTGTTTAAGCTTACTATACGTATTTTAAATGTTATATGCATGCCAAAAATGTCACTTACTAACCCACTGATGTCTGGTGTCAGGGAAAGGATCTCTCAGCCTTGAGGGGTAACCTTGAGAGGCGTCCCTTCTCAAGGGGAGATCACCGCCATGCAGCCAGCTGCTATGGAGGGAGAGCTTGACGGACCCTGATGGCTACAGATACTTATAGCGTAAAGTGGTTGATTTGTAGTTTGATTTTATGCTGTTAAGGCAGTTTTGGATGTTTTTCAGCCCAGTTTCCAGCCAAACGTGTTTTTTGGATTTGGTGCTGGGTTCTCACTGCTGGCATCACACAACAGGATTAATTTCAGTTAAGCCTTCTTGCTGAGCATCTGCCTGGACCAAAGTTCAGTCAGTTCAAACAGGAGGACACATCCTTCACAGTGTGTCACAGAGATCTTGCCCCAAGTGAGGCAAGGCTCCATAGCTTAAGGTAGAAAAGGATTCTCTTGAATGTTTTCCCGGATTTGCCAGTGCACTGGGATAGCCCTGGTGCTGCTTTCCCTGGGGTTCTTCTCTGTGTGATTTGACAGAAATGTTCAAGTGCATGTATACGCAGTCACCTAACAGTTACTACATTTTTTTATTAAAATGTACCATTAAAATAAGAGTGCATGCATTAGAGAGAGGAGCAGATGTACAGAGAGATTCTAATTATGAAATTAAAGTTGGCCATTGTATCACTTTTGAGCTCTGGCCTGCTGTGTGCAAAACTTAAATCAACTCTGTGTTAATAAATGAACTAGAAAGCTCAAATATTTAAAATATGATATCTGGAAAAGGCCTGTGAGGCTGTGAGGGGAAAAAAAAAAAGAAAAGGACCTAATTAAAAAAGACTGCTTTTCTCTAGAAGCATCCAAACTGAACTGACTGTTGGGCACAGGGATTTGATCATGGCTTTAAATAATAACCAAACCTTTTCCAAATTTGCATATCTATGTGAGTCACTTCTTGCTTTTTCTAATTTGGTGTTTCTATGAACTATATATTGATTTTTATCATCTGTAGCGTGCTGGATTAATCTTACTTGTATTTTTAATACAGTATGCTGATTGCATCCCAACTGGAACCAACATATGCCAGGACAGTTTATCCATGTTTTGATGAACCTGCCTTGAAGGCCACATTTAATATCAGAATTGTCCATGACCCAAGCTATGTGGCTCTTTCCAACATGCCTGCTATTGGTAGGTAAACAGCAAGTAGACTTATGGGTTTTTTTCCCCCTACATTACTTTTTAAAAGGGTGTAATTTATCTGAACAGACTATGTCATCCGATACAGCAGTGTTCTGTTGTCCATGTGCTAATGCCTTGAAAACGCACAGAAAATCTGTGCCTATGAAGTAAAAAATGTGGAGACAGTTATTCGTAATTAATGTCTCTGATGGCAATAATTCTGTGGGTTTGTAAGTTAAGATGTACTGTCCTCTGGTTGCTGGAGGCTGCGTAGGGTTTGATTCCTGGCATTTACTGCTTAGTCAGTGTGTCTGTCTCACTGCGTGACATCTGCTTAAAACAAAATGGCAGCCCCAGTATGCAAAGCCTGTAATTGTGTGTATGAAGGGATTCCTTTCATTCCAAGTAGATTTTAAGACATATTTATGACATACAAAAAATTGTTTTACCTGGCAGAGACACTATAGCCTTCTGTGTATGTGCAGAATAAGAATGAGAAGACTATAAAGCTCTGGAAATGCTTCTCCTGTCTCTTGCTGTGATCTTGTGTGGGATGCGTGTGGAGTATAAGGTTCCAAACAAATTCTGTAAATTAGTGTTCCTACGGAAATCTATTGGATCTCTTGCTTCCTTCTTAGTATCTTTTTTCCTGCAGTTCAGTGCCGTGAATCTTTATTTTTCACCTCAATAATTTTCAGCTATAACAGGAAGTTTTGTGAGATTCACATGGAAGCTAAGTAATAGATTATATTATAATAGATGGGAATCTCTGTGGAATCACTTAAAGCATTTTATTCCCCTGACAGTCTTGTCCACTTCTCTCTTATGTAGAAGGAAGGTATCTGATGAAGTATTTCATAATTCTGGGGCACACATGACCTATATTTGAATCATAATAGGTCATACATTTTAGAGATATGCAGCATGGGATAAATTGTCCAAGGTTTGCCCACATCCTAAAACTGACACAGTTGATATCCTTCCAAGACTTCAATTAAGAAGCTCAAGAGTGGATTTTTTGGTGTTTACATGGAAGGTCATGACTCTGATACGTGGCAATAGCAATGAGGCTGGCTACGTGCCTTCTACCAGAAACATATGAAGGTAGTGCAGAAATACAGCATATTAAAGAGAGGTGTAAAAAACCATGCAGAAAACACAAATTTCCTTATTTGTTATGGAAGAGCAATGATTTGAATATTTCTTTGATATTTTTTCTAGATGTATCTGAAATGAAGGATGAGAACGGAAGCCTGTGGGCTGTTACCACATTTAACACTTCACTGAAAATGTCAACTTACTTGACTGCTTTTGTGATTTGTGATTTTGATTATGTCACCAGAACTGAGCGAGGAAATGAGGTAATTATGAGACTGCGTAATACATTATAGCAGTTTACAACAGAAATTTGCTCTGTGGTACATCTTGTGCTTTAGAAGATACCACTGACATTAACTGTGCTTTCTGTTTCAAAACTATTTGCTTATGTGGCAAAACTGTTAACATTTATCCTGCAGATATTTCTCCAGAAAGCTTTCCCTTAGGACAATTAGTTTATTGTCCTGTCTTGATCATTTCATACAATTCCACAAGTAGGTATAGGCTCTGTATGTTAAAACTTCAGCTATGTTGCAGAAAGTACTGGTCATAATTCAGGGTCTTATCTTGTTAGCTCTCTTAGTTGGAAAAAATATCCATTTCCACTGCTGTGACAAACCATTGAAGCTCAGTGCCTTGTTCTTCAAGACCCTTTGAGGAGCAGTGCCATGACATCAGTGGGAGCAATACTGTGCTCCAAGCATTTTGTACACTAGTATTTTAACCTTTTATTCTGCAGTGGGCACATTTTTTAGCCTCCAAAAGTGACTGGTTTGTGTTTGAAGCTTCTCCATCAGTGAGTATTCAGTTTTGCTCTTACACTACAATGGCAAAGCTTCTTGAGGGAATCTGTTAAAAAATACACTCCGATGGCACCAGTCGTTTCACTTTCCTTTTGCTGAAAGTCAACAGGGGAAAGATGTTCCAAAATAAATAATAAATTCAAGCATAAAGCTATTAAGGGTAGCATATACTTGCTATCCTTAATAAATGATGGCACATGGTTTCTTCACTGTCATCCTACTGGGGAAAGGTGGGACAAGGTGAGAGGACAGTGCAGAGGTGACCAAGGAAGCACAGTATTAGCTCCTTTTTAAAGTGAAGAATTGACTTGGTGTGTCTGTATTGGGGTTGCATGGCAAGGTTTTGGGAGCGGGGGGATTGTAGGGGTGGCTTCTCTGAGAAGCTGCTAGAAACTGCCCTCACGTCCAATA